ACACACACACACACACACACACACACACACACACACACACAGGGTCATCCTGTCTTTATGAGGACTGTGGGACACTCACAGGTCTAAAGCTCGCCCTGGTCCTCAGAAGAACAGGAAGTGTTGGTGTGCCTGCAGGGTTCTGGCTCCGCCCACCCTCCATCTGTCATCTGGTGCTGTTAATAAAGGTTCTGTTCACTCAGTTCTGCTGGGACTCTGGGTCCAGTCCAGTCCTGTCAGCATAAGAAGTCCTGATATACATGTCCCTGGTCCCTACAGGTCCTTACAGGACCCTGCAGGTCCTTACTGGTCCTTACTGGTCTCTATAAGACCCTGCAGGTCCTTACTGGTCTCCACAGGTCCTTACTGGTCTCTACAGGTCCTTACTGGTCTCTACAGGTCCTTACTGGTCTCTACAGGTCCTTACTGGTCCCTACAGGTCCTTACTGGTCTCTATAAGACCCTGCAGGTCCTTACTGGTCTCTACAGGTCCTTACTGGTCTCTACAGGTCCTTACTGGTCTCTACAGGTCCTTACTGGTCCTTACCGGACCCTACAGGTCCTTACTGGTCTCTACAGGTCCTTACAGGACCCTACAGGTCCTTACAGGTCCTTACAGGACCCTACAGGTCCTTACTGGTCCTTACTGGTCTGTACAGGTCCTTACAGGACCCTACAGGTCCTTACAGGTCCTTACCGGTCTGTACAGGTCCTTACAGGACCCTACAGGTCCTTACAGGTCCTTACAGGACCCTACAGGTCCTTACTGGTCTGTACAGGTCCTTACAGGTCCTTACAGGTCCTTACAGGTCTCTACAGGTCCTTACAGGTCCTTACTGGTCCTTACCGGACCCTACAGGTCCTTACTGGTCTCTACAGGTCCTTACTGGTCTCTACAGGTCCTTACAGGACCCTACAGGTCCTTACAGGTCCTTACAGGTCCTTACAGGTCCTTACTGGTCCTTACTGGTCTGTACAGGTCCTTACTGGTCTCTACAGGTCCTTACAGGTCCTTACTGGTCCTTACTGGTCCTTACCGGTCTGTACAGGTCCTTACAGGACCCTACAGGTCCTTACTGGTCCTTACAGGACCCTACAGGTTGTTTCAGGGCAGAAGTGACCTGGCTGTGATGCTGCTGATGATGCTGATGATGATGATGATGAGTGACTCTCTGTCGCCTCCTGCTGGTCCAGCTGCAGAATGCAGGAATGAATCATTGTTTCAGATCTTCTTCCTGTTTCCTGGTGTTTCTGCTTGTTCTGATTGGACCTGTTAAACAGTTGAACTCTTCATGTTTCAGTTCGAAGCTTTGAATAAAAACATGATTTCTGATGAAGACAGTTGAACCCTACAGTCAAGTGTTAAGTGTTTGCTCYGCCTTGTTTCTCTGCAGTTTCCGTCTAACGGCAGTAATCAGATCCACATTCCGGCGCTGAGCGTGGACGGACTCTCCACCCCCGTGGTTCTGTCCCCTGGACCGCAGAAACCCTGAACCCGCCAGCTCCGGAGGTTCTGAGGAGACCTGGACTTGTGTTTCTGATGGAGAGTCAGACGGGGAAGGTGCCACTCGTGGAGCACGTTCTTCACCATTCTTAAGCCCCRCCTCCTCTGTGCTCAGAGGACGACGGGGGCGGGGCTACTACAGACCCTGATGCTTGTTTACTTTAGAGCATGGAGATGTGAAGTGTTCCGACTGGTCTGTAACCATGACGACCACGAACAGAACCATTTCTTTAAGGCGAGAGCCAATCAGAGAAGAGACAGAACCAGAACCTTTTAATGAACCCAGGAAGACCAGGACAGACGGACGGGTTGGAACATTTCCTGGACCTGTTATTTATTTCAGAACATTTTCTGACCCGGTTACTGTCGGGTTCCTTCACTGGACTCTCTTCTTTGGTTTTGTTGGGTCGAGCCGGTCCCGGGCCGGTCCTCGTTGACCCAGCTCCTGGGCTTTGTTTTGACCAATCGGAGAGGAGAGATGTTTTTTCCTTTTTAAAGGGACATTTTGTGTATTTTTAAAGTGTGTTTGTGCTGAGGACACACACACATTCCTTCAGCTGTTTGTTGCTCTGTTTTCAGCTGATGCACATTCCTGCAGCTGATGTAAATATTTACCTGCTTTACACCTGCTTTACACCTGCTTTACACCTGCTTTACACCTGTTTTACACCTGCACACCTGTTGCCACAGGCCTGTCCTGACCAGCATGGACCCAGAGTTTACATGGTGACTTTATCAGACTGTAAAATGTTTCTGTGGAAGTTCAGACAGCAGCAGCCTGACTCCTTTAATCTGCTTATTTAATCTGGTTAATTTAACCTGGTTATTTAATCTGGTTAGTTTGATCTGATTATTTAATCTGTTTTTTTAATCTGGTTATTTAATCTGGTTAATTTAACCTGGTTATTTAATCTGGTTAATTTAACCTGGTTATTTAATCTGGTTAGTTTGATCTGATTATTTAATCTGGTTATTTAATCTGTTTATTTAATCTGGTTAATTTAACCGGGTTATTTAATCTGGTTAATTTAACCGGGTTATTTAATCTGGTTAGTTTAATCTGAGCATTTAATCTGGTTAGTTTGATCTGGTTAATATAATCTGGTTAGTTTGATCTGTTTATTTAATCTGGTTAGTTTGATCTGAGCATTTAATCTGGTTATTTAATCTGGTTATTTAATCTGTTTATTTAATCTGGTTAATTTAACCGGGTTATTTAATCTGGTTAATTTAACCGGGTTATTTAATCTGGTTAGTTTGATCTGATTATTTAATCTGGTTATTTAATCTGGTTATTTAATCTGTTTATTTAATCTGGTTAGTTTGATCTGA